ACCAATATTGATGGGTATTTCCCACTTTTTATGAAATCGGAAGCCGCCATTTTGGATTTAAAGATGGCGTCGAATATCGATTTCCAGCCTCTAGAAGACATCATTCCGATTACTGGAATACCCATATCAGGGCTGGTAGTGGATATGTAATATAATAGTAGTGACTTTAGTGACTAAAATAACGAAAATAGTGACCAAATAGTGACTTTAAAGAAATAAAAAGAGACTAATAGTGACATTTTTTAATCGGAAAAAATGGTTACAATATTTCGTTGACTGCAACCCACTTCAAGAAATTTTATAATGCATTTTTCATGCTCCTTTAAAATTAAACAAATAATGGTTTACCGATAAACTTGTCTCGTAAAATGAATATTTATTTATTTTACAGTGAACCAGGAATTTGGGAAAACCGGAGAAAGCGCGCGAATTCGAAATCGCCGGGAAAAAATCGAGAAAAGCTCGTAAATTTAGATGACAAACCGGGAAAAATAAGATTTTAGATCTTTAAACAATTGTAAGGCCCCTGGACTGGAAAATGTTTTCAGGATACAGTCACTTTAATTAACTAAATATTATGAGAATTTTTAAAAGATTTTAAGATGAATGCTGCAGATAACAACCATGTTTTTTTAGAGAAAAATACCAATAGATCTGTTTTTAAGAACTCTAAGAGAGATTTCACTAGAACTCCCAGTCATTTGTGGGACTTCAGCCGTTCAGAGTAGAATCTTTAGGTAGCTCTTTTGGAAAATTAATGACGATTGTGAAGCGGATTCCAGGTCCATTTCAAATGAATAGTCAAAATAAGTTCATCCGAAGGAAATTCATAGAAAATTTAAAGATTATTCAGTTAATTCTAAAGAGAGTTCCAAGTATCTCACGATTAACACCAAGGGAATCGAATTTTGAGGGAACAATTCCAAAGGAATTCTGACATGAGTTTTATGAGAATTCCGAATTTAATTCCAAGAGCATCTCGAGAAGAATTTCAAGGGTATTCTGAGGCGAATTCCAAGCGAATTTTCATAATAATTTAGTGGAGAGCTCCAAGATAATTATGAACAGAATAGTATGAAGATTTTGAGGAGAATTGCATGAAAATTATAAGGAATATTCAGACTAATTCTAAATAGAATGCAAGGAGTATGCAAGGAAGTTTCAGTAAGTTTTTTTTCGAAACGAATCTTAGGATGAATTCTTCGATCTTAAAACAACCGGGAAAATCAACAAAATTCCGGGAAAACCCCGGGAAATTACAAATTGGGATTTGCTGGTCATTATGATTATGACAAATTCTAATTTGATGTTTGTTTTAAGTCACCCAAAAATTTAAAATTTAGCAATTTATATAGCTTTATATAGCTAAGCTTGGATAGCGATCCAAGAAGACATATCATTATTCTGGAACGAGGAAAATTTTCCAAAATGGAAAGATCGAGAATTCACACGGCAAATTAATCTGACATATATTGGAGTCAAGTTCACTTAAATTCGCAAAAACGTAGGTCACAAGAATGAGTAATTTTTTACTCAAAGATGCGTAAATGTCACTCATAAATAAATAAATTGCATTCAAATATGAGTAATATTTGCTCATATTTGAGTTTTTTTTTTTTTTTTTTTTTTATAAGAGAGATTTTTAGCCATAGGCTAGTTTATCTCTTATCTCATATTTGAGTAAAAATTTACTCAAATGCGAATTTTAGTGAACGGGACTCACATATGAGCCAGATTTATTTGCCGTGTAGAATATGTTGCATGCGTCTCGGGCTTAACATCTGGAAATCGAAAAAAAATAAAGATTCTGGGATAAGTTTGAGAGATTTTGGACCAATTTTGCAATGCTGGGACTGAAGCATTCGAAATCTTTAAGACAAACAAGTTAAGAAACGGCCTGCAATAATTTTCATATTTTTAATATATGGACAATCCTTGAAAAATTTAAATACTTCTGAAATGTAAATAACATTTTATGATCTTGGACATAGATTTTTTTCTAAAATCTAGTCTTGAAAATGTTAGGACGAATATTAAAGCTACCGAGCTTCAAAGATTTTTCAAAATTATAGTCTTTGAAAAAATGTCTAGCGCAAGTAAATTTTCCTAGACCATTTTTCGAAATATCTAACACTTGGAAAACTTCCAAGATCACGAAGTAAAGAAGCCAGGATGTTGGAATCAGATTTTTTTAACGAAACCTCTGAAAATTTGATTTGAAATTTTCTTGGACTATTTCAAGATCACAAGGCAAAGGACAAACTTAGTAATTTTATGATCTGGTCTCGAAAAAATCGAAGATAACGGACCCGAATGTCTAGATCACGAAGATGAAAAAAAAAATAATAAAATAATAGTGATTCTTTTTTTTTTTTTTTTCCTTTGGTTTGTTTTCCGTCGATCTTGTTTTCCGTGCTGAGCACCAATGCTACCGACGCCAGGAAGGCAGCTCCCACACCTGGACCCTACCTATCGACCCATCAACTCATGAACCGGGGACCAACGGCTTTACTTCCCATCCGAAGGAAGGCGTGATCAGAGATGTTATGCCTCAGAACATCCCGGCGGCGCCGACTGGGATTGAACCCAGGCCTGCTGGGGTGAGAGGTAATCACGCTTACCACTACACCACCGGCGCCGCTAATAGTGATTCTATCAGCACCAATTGAACAGTTCTGGTTTGTTCGCAACTATTCTTTGCCGAACTTTACACGCTGATTTTTAATGAATCTTTTTAACACAAATTTGTTACCAAATCATGCTGTTACTTGCTGTGATTTTTTAAAGGCAAATTATTCACTATTGGCATCATTAGTCGTAAAAAAGTGACTTTAGTGACTAAATTTTAAGAAATAGTGACTTTAGTGACTTTTAGGTGAAAAAAGTGACTTTTTAGTGACTGACTTGAAAATAGTGACCTGCTACCAGCCTTGCCATATTGATGGGTATTTAACAATATTTCTCACTTTTTCTGAAACCCGAAGCCACCATCTTGGATTTCAAAATGTCGTCGAATATCGATTTTCAGCCTCTAAACGTCATCCCGATTAAAAAATACCTTTATTGATTGGTATTTGACAGTATTTCCCTCTGTTTTAAAACTGGAAGCCACCATTTTGGATTTTAAAATGGCGTTGCATGTCGATTTTTGATTTTTAGACGTCACCCTGATTCCACAAAAACCCATATTGGAGGGTAAACAAACCATCCAACAATGATATATTTGACATCCACGTGCACAAATTTATGCGCATCCGCCTAATGAACCGAGTGAACAATCAAAAAAATTCAGAAAAACTGCGCAAATTTGTATCGAACAGCTTTGAATCAATGCGAAAGTAAGTTCATTTGACAATGAAAGAGGAAATGAACACGAGTCAAGCCGAAACAAACAGCATGAAAACTGATCGAAAGTGGTTCTGTTGATGTTGAAGGGGGGATCTGCTCGAAGAGAAGACAGAATGACTTTCATTTGAAAGTGATTGTTGACAGCTTCGTCGTCGCTTGACGATTTTCGGTTGAAAGTGACTTTGTTGGGCCTTGGTCTCGACCCACCATGTCCAGACGAAGGAGAATAATTTTCTCCAATAATTTCCGTATCGCGATAGGACGGTACGAGTTACAACCCGGCGCGGGTTTACCAGGTTTCCGAATGGCAATAGCTCTCACTTGCCTCCAATTCACCCGGAACAATGTTCTGCTCCAGAAATTGATTGAATTAGGTCAACAAGCGTCTCTTCGCGACGACTGGGAAATGTTTAAGCAAGTTGAACTTGATTATATCCATTCCCGGAGCTGAATTGTTACATGAAAGGAGAGTAAGTGAGAATGCTGCCATCGAAAAGGGGGAATCTTGGACGTTCCTACCCAATGGAGGATCACGAATATTTATTTGAACCGACAAACCGAAAATCACGGCATTTCGAAACATTTGAAACAAAAAGAGGCACCTTAATGTAACAAAAACAGTTCAAGCATGGACAAATGAAGAGTTAGATAAATGGTATCTTGTTCAATGTAGCTTGAAATATTGTGTACTACAACTTTGAAGAAGAATGTAACCACCAAAAGCTAGATTCCTGATTTAAAGATAAAATGAAGACCAAACTAATCATCATTGTCAAAAGAAGTCTGATTAAATTATAAACAACTTTTACGAAGACACTAACTCCCCTGAAATAATGTTTTTCCCACTAAATTACCATTTCGGACCATAGTGCACTGTGTAATGGAATTAGTTTTAAATAAATTAATAATGGAATTTCGTTGAAAAGATGCTAAGTAGAAGCTCACGTTTGGTGGGGGCCATTTCCACTGCCCCTATGTACGGCAACTAGCTGCGGTAACTTAGATATTCCTTATGCGGATTTCCTAACTCTCCAAACTAAGACTTCTATCTTTCTATCGACGCTATTGAAAATCAATATTAAACACAATCGATTGCTTTGCGCTGGCACAAGATATCCGAACCAGCTGCGCACAGCTCGTGAACTGTCGCCACAGAAGTGTCTCCCCTTCCCAAAGGGGCGGAAAGGAAAAACTGTCACCAGCATTTTCCACTCCACTTTGATTTTCCACTCTCCAATCCCTACAGATGGCGATGATGTGTGTGTGTGTGTGAGTGTGAAGCATCGATAAAAGATAAACTCAATCATTGGCAGATCTTTTCCATCTTCATCCCGATGGACAGTGAATCGGGATTGAGTGGCTGTTCTATAATCTCAAACCACGGTGGATTGAGCGATGGAGCGGTGGAGCGAAAAGCGGATCATCAATCGTCGCTTTCTCCTGCGGATTCTTTTCCTCACGGACCACTGGCTGTGCTCGAGGAAAATCCCGAAAACAACTGACGTGGAAACAATTTAGGGCTTAGGAAAGTTTTCCCATTGATTGCGAGATGGCTGCTTGTCACTTATTGTTGATATTCGTCAGCTCAGTTTGTTGAATGCCTTTCATTTGTTCCTAGTGGAAAAGGTACGAGGGTAGAATCAAAAACTCACCAAAACTCATCGTCCATCAGGGTTTCGATCGAACAGGCGGACGCTATCCGGACGCCGTCCCGATTCAGCACGGTGGCCCGGTCCACTCCGCGGTCCTCGACCTTGAGCATCTCCAAAAAGTCCCCCACGCTGTGCGTCACCGGCCGTAATGTGAACTGGCATTGCTCGTTGCGACTTGGCAGTGGAACGGTGATGTGCGGAAGGCCCCTCACGTACTTGACGATGACTTCTGCAAACGGAAAAAGACGGGAGAAAACAACAATGTGATTAGATTGGATTTGATTTAGGAAACTTTTGCGGTACTTAAATGACAACGATACCTTTACCCCACATCACTCAACTTAATCGCTACTTCGATCGATGAGAAAAACTGGAAAAATGCCTCAGTCACTCAGTTTCATAATTTTCTTCACCCCAACAACAATGTAGCCCAGTAATACCTCCAGAAAAAAAGCATATTTTCTTTCACAGCTCCCCTTAACCAGAACACATTTCCATTTTCCTCATAATCTGAAATTCCCACCAAACCACCTTCTATCAGAGAAACACCAATCCTTAACTGTCTTTTTTATTTTCTCAACTGCCACAAACCCTGCATAAATCTGTCTACTAACCATCACAGTGCTCTAGTGGGGAAATCCTTTCCGTCTTTGTCTTTAGCTACCTACTGGAAGCCAGAACTTCTCGACTGCCCTTTTCATCGGATTTCCTTTGTTTTCGCCCTTTATGCCTCACCCACTTTGCTCTACTTTGATTCTCCTGTCGTACGACAGCGACTTTTCCGCAAAGATACAAGTAGGTACCTACACGATGTGTTTACTTGACAAACAACAAAACATGGCGACGACGATGACGATCATGATGACGATGACGAGGTCGACCGAGCTTTGCAATTTCACTTCTCAAGTAGCCGCACAGACGTTTCACGCGTCCTTGAACCCCGAGGAGCAACACTCCATGGAACAACAGTGCCGGCAATGAGCTTTGATGGAAAGTGCTGTGTGCTTCAAAAGCTGCATCCTTTCGACCCGGTTGGAATTGGCATTCTCCATCTGTGTCTCCCCACGATTCGTAGATATTGTGATGTTCATGCTAATATTGTTGGTTTTTGTACAGATTGGTTCCATCGCAGTCATTGATGTTATTGTTTCGCTCTGAATCTTCGTACACTGAACGAAAACATCGGCATCTCTTCGAAAGATTATTGCATTGCTCGAGCACTTAAATTAGATTTATAATTCGATTGTTTACATTTCTATATTGTATAGCCATGAACAGCAATTCCAACATGGATACAAAAATCGTTTGATGGTAGAGGAAACTTCCTCCACCACGAAATAGACAATCTTCGGTTTCTACACTGTACCAATGTTCGTACCACCTCTGATAGCGATGACTATGTTCCCACCTCGTTTGTCAGCTCAGATGTGCAAATAACGTCCGATAGAATTATTTACATCATCGTACTCATTTCAATTTAGGATGACAATCATTCTACAGAGAGCATAACTTATTTCAGCTGAGGTCCGTTCGCTTCTCGTTTCAATGTTCATTCTGTATTCGAGAGGAGCATCATCTGATTACAAAACAACCGTCATCCGGTTGCAGCTATCATTCCAAAAAGCGATATAGATGTTTCGATTTGAATGGTCTGAGGTTTCATTTCGAACAGAGGATGATGTTTTGGTACAGTGTAGAAGACCCCCATTTGAGAATAGGCGGCTTTTGAAGACATTTTTCCCTTATGACGGATTTCACGCCAACTCATCCAGTGGTTGGCAGTACCCTCTCAGAACCTTATGGAACTTTGTGGGTGTGGAGACTTAGCAATTTTAAGCAACTTTGCGTACTTATTTTTTTCAAAATTTATCTCGCCTAACATTTGATAAGGGTCAAAGTTTTTTGTCGATTTTTTTTTCAAATCGATATAGCTTAAAAATGACAAGCCCTACAAAAAAGTGATGTATGGCGAACTTTTAGCAAATAAACTGAAATTTTATAAAAAAATTTAAATAACATAAAAAATCGGTTTCTACACTCTAAAAAAATATATTTAAAAATTAAAAGTCATTTTCCCAAAAATGGTACTCCTCAGATTTGCTTGATATTTTTTCTCATGAAAGGCAATATAATTACCTAACCTTTCTTCATACATCGCAAAGTTTCGGAAATTAAGGAAAGAAAGTTGTTCGAACAACAACTTTTTCATGTTAATTTTTTTTTAGCGTGTTTCACTCAAAGTCGAATAGTAATACGCGCACAACCTTATTAAAATTCGATTAAACTTTATGGGTATACTTTTCGATAATCTGGGCGAAATCTAGCCTAACATTTGAAAAGGGTACAGAGAAGTTACCTGCAAATCGTCCAATAAGAGTTCAGAACAAAACGTTCTAATGAGGAACAGCCATCTCAGCATGGTTTGCACTTTCCTGTGATGGATTGTATTATAATATATGCATACACTCTATCCAACTTCTATAAAACCACCCTCAAATTGTTCCAAATCAACAGGTAAACTAAGTAAAAATCACTTAGTATGTTTTATTCATGAAAAGATTTCAATTCATGTATTTGTGATTAATTTAATTAGAAAAATAATCATTCATTTATTTTTATGTATTAGGTGTGTCCATTAGTAAGCAATATGCATATATGTTTATACCTCATCTCTCAAGTGAATACATATAATAGCGCAGGTAACTTAACGATTATTTAAGGCATGCCTAAAATAATCGTTAAGTTACCTGCTATATAGCAAATCAAATGATTTTGACGAAATGATGATGCAGTTAAAGGAGAAATTTAATTTGCCTTCTACGAGTACAAATGACAAATTAAAAGTGTTATCAGTGCTCCCTAAATCATGGTCAGTGAGTCAAATAGTTAATGAGTTTAATGCACCCCATCATACAGTGAAACAGATGAAAAGGCTAGTCAGAGAACAAGGTATTCTTTGTAGTAAGAAAGCAAGAAGTGGTCATGAATTTAATGATACTGAAAAACAAATTGTTTTAAATTTCTTTGACAGTGATGATATTAGTAGGCCTATGCCAGGAAGTAATGATTATGTTTCTGAATATCGAAATGGATATAAAGAGCATGTTCAGAAACGTTTATTGATGATGTCTCTTAAAGAGGCTTTTATGATTTTTGAAGAGAAATACAAAAGTGTTAAAATCGGATTTACTTCGTTCACTCAGCTCCGACCAAAGCATTGCATAATGTATATGTATGTGTCTGTACTATACATGAAAATGTTAAATTGACTATTAATAGTGTAAAATTTGATTCATATAAAGAAATTGCAGACAAAATACTTTACAGTAGTCCTATTAGAACCATAGATTGTTTTTATCGTACATGTGAAGAATGCATTTCCACAGATAGTATCGTGAGGGAACTTACATCAGTATTAGAAGCAGATGATATGGAAGAAGTTTTATTTCAACAGTGGTTGACTACCGACCGTTGTAATTTGGAAACTATTATTAAACCTGCAGATGAGTTTGTTCAATATTTGACGGAAAAAGTTGAAAAGCTCATAACCCATGATTTTATTCATAAAGAGCAATCATCTTACCTAAGTAATAAAAAAAATTCTCTTCAAAACGGTGAAATTTTAGTGATTTGCGACTTTTCTGAAAATTATTCATTTATTATTCAAAACTCAGCACAGGGGTATCATTGGAACAATAATCAAGCTACGATACATCCTTTCGAAATTTACTACATAAAAGAAAACAAGTTGGAAAATTTAAGCTTTATTATTATTTCAGAAGTATTGACCCATGATACAATAGCAGTTCAATTATTTATATCAAAATTGTTAGATTTCATTAAACAATCTATTAGTTTCACAAAAATTACTTTCATGTCAGATGGAGCAGCGGCTCATTACAAAAATAAAAAGAATTTTGCCAGTTTGTGCAACTTCAAGTCCAAGTATGGATTGGAAGCAGAATGGCACTTCTTCGCAACGTCTCATGGGAAAGGCCCATGTGACGCAATTGGAGGAACTCTCAAACGAATGGCAAAGAGAGCAAGTCTTGCTCGAGATTATGGAAACACAATCACAACTCCACAAGAACTGTATGACTGGGCAGTTAAACAAACAGATACAAGCATAACAAAATTGAACTTCTGCTTCATATCAAATGATCAATACACAAAGATGTCCGATGAACTGAAGGAGCTGTTCAGTCATGTAAAAACTATACCTGGTACACAAAAATTTCATTGTTTTGTACCTATTTCTCAAAACATAATTTGTACTAAGCGATTTTCACATTCAAAGGAAACTCCGAAAAATTTCACTCTGTTTCCGATAGACTAATAATCAATGAAAAACTCAAATTATGTATGGAGAATTATAGGAAAATAAATTATGCACTAAACAAAAACACTAGAGTTTTCATTTATTAAAACACCATTCGAAATGCAGGAAAATCCTCTGTATTAGGCCCTTTCAAATGTTAGGCTAGATTTTTGTTTTAAGCACGCCCAGATTATCAAAAGGTCAAAATCTTTATGCTCATTAAGTTTCAACGGATTTTAATAAGGTTGTGCGCGTATTACTATTCGACTTTGAGTGAAACACGCTAAAAAAAATTAACATGAAAAAGTTGTTGTTCGAACAACTTTTTTTCCTTAAAAGCGCCCACTTTGCGATGTATGAAGAAAAGTTAGGTAATTATATTGCCTTTCATGAGAAAAAATATCAAGCAAATCTGAAGGGTACCATTTTTGGGAAAATGACTTTTAATTTTTAAATATATTTTTTTAGAGTGTAGGAACCAATTTTTTAATTTATTTAAATTTTTTTATAAAATTTCAGATTATTTGCTAAAAGTTCGCCATATATCACTATTTTGTAGGGCTTGTCATTTTTAAGCTATATCGATTTGAAAAAAAAATCGACAAAAAACTTTGACCCTTATCAAATGTTAGGCGAGATAAATTTTGAAAAAAATAAGTACTCAAAGTTGCTTAAAATTGCTTAGTCTCCACACCCACAAAGTTTCATAAGGTTCTGAGAGGGTGCTGCCAACTCCGAAGACGAGTTGGCGTGAAATCCGTCTTATGCAATGCCAAATAAAAGGATTTTGAGTTTGAGATGAAAGGGCCGGATAGGATTTATGAAATCCATAAGCTCGTGACAGTCATGCGGCTAGATTCGGGGGATTATTTATGTGACATCTTGTGACGAAGGTGAAAGCCGGTAACATT